TCCCCAGCGGCCCCCTGCACTAATAAGAAGTTTTACATCTATACAGATGGTACACACACACACACGCGCGCCCCGCAGCAGCGGGGCGGATGAAATGACAATGAAAGTGAAATGAAAATGAAAAAGAAATGAAAGTTACTTAACCAGGACGCGAAGAGGGGAACGCAAAAGAAGAGGGAAAGAGAGAACATCAACACAACACACCTGGCCCAGAACGGGCAAACCCTGAAAGGGCAAGGGAAGAAAAAACGGAGGCCGACGGAAACGGAACCAGACCAGCGGAGGAGGGACGGAAGGGCCTGAACCAACCTACCATGGCGAAACCTAAGCCTACCTCGGCACGCGCAGGACCCAACCTACCTGGAGAGGGGAAGAAACACATGAAAAAGGGGACTCATGGGGGACTAGTTAATGAAATGATGCATCCACATGACATGCAGATTCCCCTATTCAGGCTCAATGGCCTCCTCTTCAGGTCACGACCCTATAAACGGCTTAAGTCGTCACCCTTGAATTACGTGCACATTTGAACCGTACCAGAGACCATCAAAAGAAAGAAGCACCACACCTAAAGCATGTCCTGAAGCCTAAACCTCATCCAAGAAAAGGTGAGTGCCCAAACTGCGGCAAGCTGTTTCAACACAACGACCGACGGGTGAGAAGATGAAAAATGGCCGACTGTTTCACATTACTTAAACGAATTACTAGGTTGAAAATTGAAAAGGTGAATGCCCAAACGGCGGCAAGCTGTTTCAACACAACGACCGACGAGTGAGAAGATGAAAAATGGCCGACTGTTTCACTTTACTTAACCGAATTACTAGGTTGAAAATTGTAAATTCAGAGATCAGGTCGTTGCTTCGCTCTCCTGCTTAGGCAAGCATTCCCCGAGGGGTTCATGCCACCGTGACGAATCCAGCATGAATCACACACTTGCTCAGAACAATCTTTGCTAATTCTGATGCGGAATGCAACGGACGTGCAAAAACACCAACAATAAATTGACACGAAGAATGAAACTATATATAATCATATAAAGACGTATAATCACAGTAGACATTGACCATATAAAACAACAGCGATAAAATATATGTCCCCCCCAGCTGCGTCTTATATGCGCCCAGGGGCGGGACTATATATGTGTATATATATATTAAAAAAAAAACAGGTACGTTTACACAGGAACATTGCAGCGTCTTCGTTGGCCGCTGACTGCAATGTTCCCCAGCGGCGTTTTACATCTATAAAGGTGGTACACACACACAAACACAAGGTGAATAGCTACATACATAGAACCTCCATTGAGACTTGGAAAAAACCAAACAATTTGTTTCACTTCGAAGGTACCAACTCTTCATCCGCAATCCCTCGGCAGCAGCAACTCTTCGGCTGTCGTGCCAAGGACAATCTTACAATATTTTACGACACCTTACAACAGTGCTCGTTCAGAACCATTCACATATGTTCACCTGTCCAATGTTTGCAGAGCAAACCTGCACCTCTCCCATCGCATCGCCTTTCAGAGGACAGCTGCGTGAGCGCAAATGTTCGCAGGTATCCTGCTTAGCAGACTTGGCCATACTTGGCCACTGCCACTTCAAGAGGATGGTTAGCGAAGTCATGGAACACATTATTCACATGTCTGCATATTTCTTCAAAATTATGATTTTTTGTTTTTTCCAAGGTGGTCCTCAGTGCAGATTCAAGGCTTTCGTTCCCGCAGAATCGTGCAGAGAGAGCGTGCCCATTCTCCTGTCTGAAATGAATGATTTCAATGGTTTTAATTGATGCAGTTGCATCGTGTGGCTGATGTGTGATGGCATCTGTTCCCAGATGGGCAAAGAGTTCCAGGTTTTGGTCCTGATTTTCATATTATCGAGGCTTCAGCCATGGCGTGTGCAGGTACATTCCACGGAATCGTGACATGCTTGATGGCACAGTACAGATGGAATTGAAGGCTCAACTCAAACGCTCTGGAAATGCGGTGGCCGTGTCAGTCCATGACCTATTTCAGTTCGCCGGCGCAAGCAGTGCATTCACCAGCGGCAAGCAAAACTTTATGATCACAAGTGGTTCCTAATTGCCCCCTTCATCTTGCTCTCGGATGGTCAGATTCGGTTTTATGGTTAAGTTAAAATGTTGTTTTTCTTTACGCGGTTCAAAACATCAAACCAGCTCACAGCGCTGCAAACAAAAACTAAATAGGCGGAGCCAGTCATTCTTCTGCATAGAGCGTGGACAAACCCGGACTCAGGGGATAGCGCATTTCAGGAAAGGGGATGCTTTTGACTGGACGCGTGGATGTGTTGGAGGATTGACTGCTTCATTCCTATGCTCTTACCGTAGCAAATATAAGTCGGAGTTCGTTTGAGGATGTTGTTGACGAAATTCTTTGTCTGTGAATGAATGATTCAGTGAGCATGTGCGCTGACCTCCCAAAATCTTTGATGAAGATGTGTCTTGGTACTGCGCCTGCCACGCGAAATACATCTTTGCAGATCCTCTTCAAACGCCTCACGCCTGCCATGGTTTTTGGTGCAGAGGTTCCAGAGAAGGTTCCGGAGAAGGTCTGGAGGCTTTGGTGTAGAGCCAGGTCAGTTTCAACAGGGTTCCGGAGAAGGTTTGGGAGGCTTTGGTGCAGAGCCACGTTAGGTTCAACAGGATTTGCGGCCATTTAATTCACGGAAACCCGGCTGAGGTGTTTCCAGCGCTTGGCTTCGCAGCACGCTTCAGAAAGATTTGTAAAAATAAAACGTTGCGGCTGTTGGGGATACCATCGAAGCTTATTTTTCTTTTGGTTGAGAAGACTCTTCGCACCTCTGCTTTTCCATCTGTCCATATTGTCGGAAGTTTCACTTCTAAACTTCTTTCGACTGATATGTACATGCGGAGCGCAGCGGAAGGTTGCAGCTTTTTCACAGCCGCAAGGCTTGTGTTTCCCCACACAAGAAGGGCTTCTCGAGCCCACGTCCGCTGACACACAGCGAAAGGTTGAAAACTGCAACAGGCTTTGTTCAAGGTGGTGTTCCCTATACAAATCCACATGCACCACAACTTGTGTTGAACAAAGCATGTATTTCAACTAGTCGTTTGTAGCCCGTCTCCGTTAAGGACCATTTTCCAAGGTGCATAATTTTGCTGAGGAACTTGGGGGCCATCCTTTTGGTAAGGGAGTCGGATGCCATGTTAGTTCCACCGACCCAACGGACCTGGCCGCCAGTGGTCTCAAGGTCGCCTTTCAGGATGGTCAGGTCAATGGCCGTCCTCTTGTCGTCGATGTGCGCCGACGTGTTCCTGCATTTCGTGATCGTGTCGTAGAGCGACCGGGAATCTGTCACAGCAATGAATGGCAGCTTACCAAGTTGTTGCTCCCAGTTCTCCAGTGAAAGGTCCTTTGCTAAAACCTCTGCCAAGAGGAATCGATGCCAATGAAGGTTGCCAATCCCCTGTAGCATCGATTGGCATTCTGCTGATAAGGTGTTAACGGTACACCTCTTCAGCTTGTAGCTTTTCCAGCTTGCAATTGTGATGTTGGCCATGTCGTCAGTGGTCTCCAACTTGTCATCGTAGTAGATCAAGAGGTAGCCACCTTGGCTATGCTTCCTGGCAAGTTGAAGAAAACGCTCGTTGATGGGTTTTCGGGTCTCCTCTTCGATCTCGGTCTTCAGAAACGTGGTTGTTCCTGTCCATGGCTCGTTGTGCTTCTCCCTGATGGCCTCCTTGTCATCCCAATTGTCCGTCATCTCCTCGTTGTTACAGGTCGTGGATCTTGTCCTCGAGATCTTGTGTAGATCAGGTCCATGAGGTGCAGCACCAGGATGGAAGAGCAGTCTTCTCGGCAGAATGTGATGTCGTACCCAGCTGAATTCCGTCTCTTCCCAATAGTCCTTGTTGTTTTCTTCCATGTAGTTGCCTCCGGCATTTCCCCAGCTGGCATCGGTGACAACTCCAACTCGAAGTCGTTCCATAGGGATCGGCTGTATCAATATCCCCAGACCCTGCAGGGTCCTTCTTCTTCTCTTCGGCCACGGCATTGGCCTCGATGATGTCTTTGATCATTGGAAGTGGCATCGACTGTTGTAGCAGTGCCACTCGGCCGGCCACGTCTGGCCTGGTTTCTTTGGCGACCCATGCCAGAGCTCCAAGTAGGGTTCGCAGCTGGTTCACCTCGGTGGCTGAACAGGTAGAGTACCTCTGTCGTTTTCGCTCTCGTTTCATGGGGATCATGTTGACCTTCTCCTCGATATAGGTTTTCTGGTGTAGGAGGATGGCGCCACTGGGTTGTTGCTCGATGGTCTTTCCAGTGAACTTTCCATTCCCAGTGGTGTATTTTCCCATCTTGTACTGGGAGCGAAGCCATTCCATATGTTCCCAGTGAGCCGCTTCTCCACCATGTAGCATGTCATCCGTGGCCAAGGCGATGATCCCGATGAGCTTCTGTTTGTCTTGATCGAACAGCTGGAACAGACACGGGCCTGCCCGACTTCTCTGGTATCCCCTGCCTTCCAGCACTCGGGAGAGGTGCTGGTACCATGCATATGGACCATCAGTTATAATCATAGCATGTCTTTCGGAGTCGGAGTAGTTGCCGTGGGTGCAGACCAGGAATTCCTTCTGGAGGAAGGGAACAGTACAGCTCTCTCTGGATCTGGTCTCCTGAGTGGAAGGCCTGAGTGAAGTCCAGGTGACCAATCGTCCATTGGTGACTGGCCAGCATCTGGAGCGTGAACATCACGGTGTCCTTGGCAACCTGTGGCGTTGTTGACTCCAGGTTCTCGGCGTTAGCCTCTGAGTATCCTTTCATTACATGTCGGGCTTTGGCCTTCAGCATTTCACCAGTTTCGTCATCTAGTAGCAAGCCTTCCTTCTTCAGTACTTCTATTTCGTGAGGTTCAACGGCCTTCTCAGTGAGGACGTACCTGCTCTTCATGATCAGGTCCCCCTTCTCCCTTCTGATCCTTTCAGATTCTTCTCTGCTCAAGACTTCATAGGCTCCTGACTTCAGGTTGTTCTGGATCTCCTTGGAGATAGCTCGGTCGAACTTCTTCTTGTTGGTCAGCTGTAGTCGACCGTAGGAGACTTCTTTCCTGTTCCGGGTCATCGTGATCTTCTCAAGCTCGTTGTAGAGAGTCTCCAAAAGTTCCACTCGGTGTCGTTTAGCGGGAGGTTCTCCTTCTTCTGGATGATCGGCATGTCGTACTTGTCCACGATGATGTTCTTCAGCAGGAGGTAGTGCATCGTTGTCGACCCTCTCGTCTTCCGTCTCGTCCGGTATCGGTGTAGTTGGAACCACGTCTGGGGAGTCAATCTCTGGCTGTTCTTCAGGATCATCAAAGATACCCTCATCGGGCTGGATGCCCTCAGGGATGGCTTCAGTCAGTGGCGGTTCTACCAGGGTACTTCTTGCAGGTTCCGGCGGGTTCAGCTTCTGTCGCTTCTCATCATAGATATCTGGTTGAAACTCAACCTCGGTCGCTGCATGCTTTCCCGTCAGTCTGAACTTCGGTTTCTGTGGTGGAATCTCATCGTCATCCTCAATGGCCTGGTCATCCTCAGGGGGTTTCTCATCGAGGACGATGTAGCCCTTGAAGTCCTTTTCCTGAAGCTTCTTCTTGGTCTCCACAAGGTCCTGGATCCAGTCGGTGATGACAAACTTCTCCTCGTCCACTGCTGGTCGTAGATGTTCAGGACTTGCTTTCACGATGTGGTTGCGATGTGCAACCCATACAGTATTGGGCAGGTTGGTCAAAATGACCTTTGCCGGTCCATGCCAGAATGACGGGTTGTTTTTCTTGGCTCTCTGCATCCCCTTTTTCCAGTAGTACACCGTTTGACCTACTTCATAGTGATGCCATTTTCGGTGTCCAGCATGTAGTGCATTTCGTAGTGCCTGGTCACAGTCCGCCTTGTGGTAGGCAATGGCTGCGGCTTGTCGTAGGTCTGCAGAACGTTGTACTTGGAGATCACCAGCCTGGTACCTTGAAGCGGTGGCATGGTCGTTGAAGCCTCCACTCAGGTTAGTTCCAGGGATTCGAGGACTGTACCCCAGCATTCTCTGTACGGGACTGAATCCCGATTTGTTGGCCAGTCGGTTGATAGTGGCCGTTGTCACATCAACTGCCTCATGCCATTCTTCCCAGGTAGTACAGGTTACTTCCATAAGTGTCTTTGAAAGTACCTCCTTAAAGGACTTGCCGGCCCTCTCAGTGATTGACCTTTGAGTTGGTGTTTCTAAGGCCCCGGGGTCCAAGACGATGGATTGCTGGTCCATCATGTTCTGAAAGCATCCACGGAACTCCTTGCCCAAGTCACTGTAGATTCGCTCGGGAGGTCCAAAGATGCGAATCCATTGGAACAGAGCACGTGAGGCTGACCGTGGTGTGTGATCTTCCAGCGGTATCACCAGTTGAAACCTGGTAGCCCAGTCTACTATGTTGAGGGCCATCTTCAGTTTGCCCCCTGCTTTCAGACCTGGTAGATGGACTGTATCCACTCCTACTACTTGGTTCGGAGTGAAGTCTCGTGGTGGTGCTGCCGCCCTGGCAGGTGCAATCCTCTTGTGCTTCTGGCAAACATCACATGTCAGCTTCTTCGCATACTCAATGGCCTCCTTCTTGGCCCCTGCGTTCTGTAAGATCCTTGCTAACTTGTCGTTTCCGATGTGTCCTAGTCCACAGTGTGCCCTCCGTACCAATTGGAAGGTGTTCAGGCCTCGTTCTCTTGGTAGTCGTCGTCCAGGCAAATCAGCCTGTCCTTCTGTTGGCTCCTCAATCACTGCATCGTCGACAAGAGCGTTCTCGGGCTGTACGTCGGCATTCTCCTCAGGGTGGTCTGTGGCCATATACTCATAAGCTTTCAAGTTGAAGCACTCGGGAGGACATTCTCAGTGCGGTAGATCTCGTTCATCAGGCCGTCCAAGGTGATCACATGGATGTGGTGGCGCACGTTGTGCTCCTGGTCGATGGTGTCGGCGTATGCCTGCAGGATGGTTCGTACCAGTTCGACTGGATACTCCTGAGCCTGTTTTGCCCTAGAGCCACCAGGACCATTGCCAAACACTGGTCGGTGAACGTGATCCTTGCTACAGACCTTTGAGAGCCTTTCGGCAACAGTTTTGTTATTGGTCAACCAACCGGTCGGCTTCTTGTACCTTTCACCTTCAGGAGCCTTCAAGTTAAACATGCATTGATCATTTCGTACCATGAGTGTGTCATGTAACTGTGCAAGCAGCTGTACACGTGGTTCTGACCATGCCTTGGAAGTGAGTGGTTGCTCAAAAACAAACGTCCCCCCATAAGTCCTGACAAGTTGACAAATTTCACATGCGAAATTCAGCAAGACCTTTGCCTCAACAAGCCTTTTGAGGAAATCCCTATCCTTTTGGGGGTCTTCCCGATACTTCTGATTGGGGTTTTGAAGAATGCTGAACATGGTGCAAGGCGATGACACAAGCATGCAACCCGGTTTCACACTCTGAACATACCTTCGGACCTCTTGCCTGTTCTTCGCTTTCAGTAGGTCATGTCCTAAGGTCAAATCAAAAGCCATGCCTTGAGTAAGACCTACACCTGCTGCCTGGGGACCAAACCGTTTTGGATTGAACACTTCGGCCATCACTCGGGCTTGTTTATTTGTCACGCCCATCAGTCCCGCAAGTCGGCGGAGAGGTTTCTTATCCTTGATCCTGGTTGGATCTGCCGGATCAAAAATTTCAACAGCGTACTGTTCAAACACTTGCTGAGTGGTCCGGTCCGGACCTTCGCCAAGAAGGGTTATAATCTCCTTCCACATGACTTCGGTCTGTGTCAAAGCAGCCCCGGCTTTCCGAAGCAGTTGTTTCACACCCCTACTTTTCAGGTCAAAAACTTCCTCAGCACTTGTGCTTTTTGGGTCACTCAACGGTTGACTCGGGAGCCTGTCCAGACCCCTGCCGGTTCCAGTGCCTGGGACCTCTTCCACTCCAGGAACTCCTCGTAGGTGGGCTCGTTCGGCTCCAGCTTCTTCTTGCGGTTCTTCTCGCGTTCCTTCTCCTTCTGGATGCCGGCTTCGGTGAGCTCCTCCTTGGTGATCTTGCCGCAGATGGCACACTTCTCCTGGATCTTGAACTGGTTGGAGCCCGACTTCAACACCTTCTCGTGCTTGCAGTGCCGTTGTGCCTGCTGTAGAAGTTGGGATGCCGTAGAGCTCCTCCGTGACGTAGTGCTCCTCCGTGTGGTAGTTGATACCACCGTTTCGGTGTCCATCTCCTCCTCGGATGCCTCGATGAGGTTCGTGTTGAGGTCGGGCTGGATCAGAGTCCACATGAAGGTCCGGCACTGTTGATCGCGAGGATGTGCGCAACGCCAAAACAGCTTGTGGTAGTTGGGACCCTGCCTCTGGCATATGAAGAGGCGTGTAGCCTCCCCATGCTCGCATTGAACTGGTGGCCCCACCATTCGAAGGATCGCATCCGTGATGAGCTCCTTCCCCATGTAGGAACTTGCCTGAGACTTCTGGCTCTTGGCTGGTGATGACGGTGGGATCAGTTCGAAGCTGCCCTCGGTCGGCGCCACTCTGGTAGTTCTCGGTTTCCCGGACGAAGTGCTCTGGTTCAGGTGATCTGGTTGATGACGTAGAAGACGGAAGGCCAGCGCGCTGACATTCTGCATGATGCTCATCACCCTCACCAGCAGCATGTGCCACGCTGACAGGATCTTGAAGCTGTTGTCCTGGGTGCGATTGCGTTTCCTCTCGGTCTCCATCATGGTTGACAGCACCGAAGGTTGAACCTGGAACGGTCGGGCTTTTTCCTGGGCCAGACTTGGCGGCAACATCCGATACCTCAGGTTCCGTTCTGAAAACTTCAAACTCAGTTCCAACACTATTGAGAGTTTCTTGGGTTTGTTTCAGGTGTTTGATTTGTTCATGTGAAAAATTGCACAAAGGAATACGCAAAGCACCAGTGGGACCTAGGTGACAGTTAACAGAGAAATTGAATTTCTTGAAATGGATTTTCAAACCATTTTGGGGGTCCAAGTACAAAACGGCTCGGCAAAACATCAAGAATGGCAACGAAATAAGGAAGGGGGCATGTTTACTCTCTTCATTTTCAAACACCGCAGGTTTTAAAATGCTTCCCTTCTTACCCAGTCCTGTTGGTACTGCTGCTACATGAGTTGTAGATGACCTTCCATGAACAGAACGGAACCGATGTTCTTGGGGTTGAAGTTGTACGCCTAGCTCTTCTGGAAGATGTGGGGAGAGTCGCCGAAGAGTCTCATACCCTATGGCCATTCTTTGACATCCAGTGTCAACTGTTGCACATGCTTCTTCCGGAGGGTTAGTGGAAACCAACTTGGTACTAGACAACCCTTCCCCAAAAAGAATCTCCCAGTCCTCATTCCCAACATTGCGGTCCTTATACGGGGACGTGGGCTGGCACTCAGCTACATTGGAATTGGGCTCAGGTTCAGCTACCGCAAAACTTCCCACTGGTGGGGAATCTAAGCTGGCTACGGCACTCATGGCTTCTCCGGTGGTCTCATGGTCTAAAAGACCGCAGAAAACAGCTTCTTTGGTTTCCAGAAGATGTTGGTCACGTTCCCTGGGAGGCTCTGGGCACTCGCGGTGCCAATGTCCAGTGCGGAGACAATTCCCACAGCGGGTGATCTTTTTGATTTCTTCTATGGTCATCTTATACTGACCTGCTTTCCAAGGAGGCTTGCCAGTGTTGTTGACGGTATAGGTGTTCTTGCCTTTGCCTTTGCTCGGAAAGTTGCCAGATTTGTATCCTCTGCCAAGTTCCTTGCTCTTCTTCGCCTTTTGGGTTTGGACGAAGCTGCGTTTCTTCGTCAGGATCGTGTTGAGGATCTCTGCTGCCTCGTGCTCATCCAAGATCTGCGTCTCCTCGTCCTCAGTGCCACCAGGTTGATCACCAAGTTGTTCTCCACCTTATAGTTCCACGATCGCCGCCTCGATGGCATGAATCTCCTCCTCGTCATTCTCGCTCTCCTCCTCGGCGACGAAGAAGTTGCCGCTCGCCTTCGTCGAGCTGGCCTGATTCTTCTTGGGGTCGAGGCCAACTTGTGCCACTTGTAACTTTGTTTCATGCTTCCTGACCCAGTCCTGGATGTCAGGTGGCATGATGCTGCCACGGGTATAGTTGAGGAGCGACTTGATCTCCGGTTCGGTCAGGTTGAGGGCATTCACCAAGAGGAAGCCGATGTACTTGTCCGGCAAAAAGACCTTGTGCTCGGCCACTTTGCGCATGGCAGTTTCCCATCTATTGAAAAACTGCCTGTGTGCCTCCTGCTTCTCCCTTCTCACATGGTAGGTGATCTTTGCTAAGGCACCTAGCAGGTCTTCGTCTCGGTCGTCGCCGAAGTACTCGGCCTTGTCCATCAGGTCTATGAGGTCCTCACCATTGGTCTCACTGGCCATCCATTTGCGGTCCTTGGCCAAGAACTTCATTGTCTCGAAGGGCACCTTGGCTAGTCGTTGGAGTAAGAGAGGCCCTCTTGTGCGGGGTTTTGACCGTGTTGTAGCCAGCCATAACCTCGCCTTTATGGCGTAGTCTTGGAACGACAAACCTTCGCCGTCCCATTCCGGTGCAGGTCCTGCATTGGTCCTGCTTCCATCTCCATCTCTGTCTCGGGAGCCATCACTGCTGTCGCGACGGCGATCTCGGTTTCGTCGTCCTCCAGCTCGACTCCTGTTTCTCATCCATTCTCGGAACTCTTCACTGTCAAACCCATCATCATCATTGTCCTCATCATGTATTTCATGTGCCTCGTTTGAGGCTGTGCTCGGTCTCGAGCGTCCAGGCCTGCCTTGGCCCACGGTCGCATGACCGTCATTCGGTGCCTCGTCACTGCCATGTGACGACGGGGGCACCGGCTGGTCCATGTCCAAGCTCCGGTTATCACTTGCGGAGCGCAGCGGAAGGTTGCAGCTTTTTCACAGCCGCAAAGCTTGTGTTTCCCCACACAAGAAGGGCTTCTCGAGCCCACGTCCGCTGACACACAGCGAAAGGTTGAAAACTGCAACAGGCTTTGTTCAAGGTGGTGTTCCCTATACAAATCCACAGTACAATATTTATACATTTTATGTACACATATACATACATACATACATACATACATATATATATATATTATATATATACAATATGTGTGTGTGAATATGTATGTGTGCGTGTCACGGTCCCAAGCAGCCTGCTAGGAACCGCAGGCTTTGAGCGTTGCTTCACTATCTGTATCAAAATTCTGTCTGTCAGAACCCTTGTTTGACGAGTCTGCACTGCCTGCAAGTAGTTAGCGTGCGCACTGTCCCGCTCAGATCCGCACAGTATAGACAGGAATAGACAATTTTCAACAGTTTGTCATCACTTCTGATCATATTTCGATCCTGTTTAGACATCTCGATGATCTTGTTGAACAACTTGACAGACTTGACAGGCGCCTTCTTCTCGACCCGGACACTGCAAAGCTGGTACTCAGCGCTACAAGAAGTTGCATTTGTCAACCACATTTGCCTCTCATTTTCCTTTTGTCACAGGCTACTGTAACATGGAAACATTGCTAAGGATTGCTGTAAGGAAAGCAATGTTTCATTGGAACTTTGGGAAAGGTGGCTATGATGAATGATTCTGTCGACCGGCAGCGCAGTCCCCCCAAGGTGCCTTGCATCCTTCACATCGAAGTGGAGTTGCTCCCAGGAGCCATTGGTTTTCCTCTTGAGAACGAGAACATTAATAAGAGCCAGTAGCAGATGTGGAGAGAAAATTTGCCAGGCGAATTCCAGTCAGTACAGTACCAGCTCGAGGCAATCTTGAAGGCAACGTTTTTTTTCTTGACAAACAAACGACCTTAATATGAAACACTAGGGACAGCCAGAGACAGCTGCTGAAGTCGGTATGAACGCTGCCTATGACAAGATTTGCTGTAGATGACACAATTTTGCGAGGACAAATTTTCGCTTCTCGTCGATGGTGGCATGCATGGAGTCTCAGAGAAGCTGAGACAAAGCATTCGTTTTGTTTTGTTGGTAGACATGCAAACTACCAAGCTAAACTCTTTGCCAAGTTGAGGCCATTACATTTCGTAGCTCACCCTGGCAAGCCAGCCCAATTCCAAGCCTGTCACACGCCACAAGCCTTTTTGCAAATCAATCGTGGGTGATGGACCATGATGGAGACCGTGGAAGAAAGCAATTCAGATTCAAAGGGATTGAAAGAACCAAAAATGAATCGAGGAATATTTCCTTTTTGATTCGCGCCACGCTTTTGCATCAACCCTTACACTGGACTGTTGGAACCTGAGTTAGGGGGGTAAGGAAGAGCTTCTGCTGCCGGCATACACAGTAGATAAGTAGAAATCGGTTATAGCTTTCATTGAATTCCTACTGTGTAGCTATTTTAAGTTCTTTTTAAAACCTTCTTTCTTCCTCGAATCTATTCTGTGTTTTCAATGGTGCTTTGAGCTGTTACTGCAGCATTCCATGAATATTCAGACGATGAAAGATATATCATGATATATCCACAATTAAAGAGTGCTAGTGATTAGTCCGCATCCTGAAGAAGAAATGATGTACACACAGCTTTCAAACCATTTCAATGTATTTCAACTACGAGAAGTCCATTCAGCAATGTCGCAACTGAGTTCCTTACGACACATTTGACCCAGAAAACAGCCTGGTTGCGCTCTGAGCCTTGTGGACGTGCACGGGCTCAACTCAAGAGATTGGTTGCAAATTCAATTACTGTATGTGCATCCCTGTATTTTGGGCTTTTGCTCTTCAGGGTCGTTTTTGGAATCATTTGGAATCTAGCCTGCATGGTGCGCAACCACCAGACAAGTCGTTTTAGATGTGGATGCATGACAATGTGCTGTGTTCACGTAGTGCCCAGCCCGCGTGGTACTCTAGGTGGCTTTGCAAAGAGGTAATGTGGATTCTTTGAAGAATAAGACTGCTCCTTTGATATCACTTGCCGTCTTTCTTTGCAAACAATTTTGGGAACAGTATTGCATAGTATTGCAATGCAATCCAAACTTTGCAAGGGCATTGCTTTTTTGTTTCACTGTTGATGCATCGAGGTGAGGATGTACATCCTTGACTGTGACTCGCAGGAAGAGAACAACATACAAGAATTTACAAGAACACAATTTCCAAGTGAGGGGTGCATCAGCTTCAAACCTACCGCGCACCCGCCGGAAAGGTGGAAAGCTGGTTTCTATGTTGTTTTGATATGAGTATTCATATGTTTTGCTTATCTGCAATCAAAGTGCAAAAAAGCTCGCGATCGAATTTAGCGAGGAACCTGCTGATGCTCAAGCTGCTCGAACCTTAGCCCGCTAAAGCTTCGCAGACGCTTGCAGCTGTTTGATTGACACGGGAAACCATTGCCCAAGTTTATGCCAAGGCTCCGATTCCATCAGCCGAAGATTTTAGGCCGATCCCAATTGTTGCTTTACATAATTTTATATATACATATATATATATATATCTATAGATTGCTTCCAAAATGTCACAGAATGTGGACTGCTTCTAATCTATTCGTCGCTTGCTTCGCCTATCTTCGGTTTGAAGACCTTTACTGCTTGATTCATCTTTCCTGCCAGTCGCATGGCTACCCTCAATTCTCGGTGGCAGCTTACAGCCTTGGAAGCCTTGCACCTAGTAAGACCAAGGGAGAGTACTGTAGTCATTGTAGTCTGACAGTTTCAAGACCATTGTAGTCCTGCAGTCCTGGCCAGCATGGCAGTACTTGTACTCCAGTCTCCATGCAGCCAGTGCTTGAGACCAACGTTGCAATGAAGAATCACGCCCATCAAATTAATTCAAATCAACTGTAGATTGGCAATTCGTTCCTGATTCAGGCCGTGATAATCTCTCTTTAGCCTTTGGCTTCGCCAACACGCCCATGTCAAGCACAAATGCAAGGCAGCTACTGGCACCTCAAGAGACAATCGTGAAGCTCCCAGTGCGCTATAAGACTGGCAGAATGCAGCGTAATGCAACTTTGTGGAAACAATGGAAACAGCATGCAGAGGATTGCAGCGATGCTACAGTAAGTCAAAGCTGTGAAATTTGCAGAATTGGCAGTCACAGTTTGGAAGAAGCAGCTTAGGATCCCAATGCCTTGGCGTCAGAATCGGCGTTATCTCGAATCGTTTGCATCCTGTGTCGTTGGCACCTTAGGTGCGGCTTTGGGGGCAGTTTAGGAATGCTTAGGACTGGATAAACATGAAACTGACTGACTTACTGGATTGTTGCAAATTTCCTTTTTACAGTTTTGAATGAATTTCATAGTCTTGCCCTAGTTCCTGCTTGTAAATTCGTGTCTCAGGATGGACATCAGAGGTTTTGGGTGGCACCCAGGATTTTCTATGACATCCACTTTTGAATTGCGTGACTGTGCCGGTTTTGCAGGTGCTGCATTTTTGGTGTCAGCACGTTTGCATTGCTTGCGCACCCACCAACTGTCAACTTTATCATCCACAAGAATTGCCCCGTACCCACGAAATGTGTTGGGATACATGGGAATGATTTTGCGGCATGTCCAAGACAATCAAAGCAAGAAGGAGACTGGGTAGTACTTAGATGATCTGCCTTTGTATTGTGTAGGATAGCTCGGCATAGCGCCGGATAGGTTTTGCCGCATTTACCCGTTCTCTTCATCGCAAAGATGAGCTATGATTGGCAAACCGTTCGGGTGTCCCTAGCTCTTCGTCCGCTGAACACCTCCCCATCATCACTCCAGTTTGACGAAATTGAGCTACTGGACAGATCGGAGAAAATACCCAATCCCACAGCAAAGGGAATCCTGAGTTGCAATCTGCCGGATGGGTGGTTTACCGAAACGAAGGAATGGGACAGAATCGGGCTCTGCCTTCAAAGCTTGCTAAAGCAAGCCGAAAACAAACCATGCAGGCTTGCTGCTTTAGAGTCTACAAATGGCTGCTGGAAAAAAAGCCAAGAACCACCGCCTCCACCAACACCAGCATCATTAAGACATCACATTAGAACCCATCACCACCGCCACCGCCATCACCATCAGCACCAGTCCACCACACCACCCCCAACCACCTCCAACCACCCCCAACCACCACTAACTACTACCGCGACACCACTACTAGCACACCACCAAACACACTGCTGCCAGCGGCCGCCCATGACCCTTCGCTGCCTCACTGCCTATAGACCATGCAAACCTGTTTATAGCTATCGCATGCTATCGCCATTTGAGAAAGCCCGCAGGAACGACCCTGTTATTGGGCGAGTCTTTGGAAGGATTTGTAGATGGTGCAAAGCTGAAACGGGTGTGCCACTTGTGGATGGATATATTTCAGCCGGACCACGCTGGACCACAAACTCAGGTTCGCATGCCGCCAGCTATGAGGTTGTCAGTGACGAAGCCAAGGCAGTGCGAATCCAGTTTAAACCCCTCGATGAGCAGCATGCACATCCCGGCAAAGCCAAGAAACATATTGTGACCATCAGTGGCATATATTTCGATGGTCGTCAGTGAAGTGACTCACAGTCAAGATGCCGCTAGATTAGAGCAAACTCCATCTCGTTCGCAAGCACGGCTGTGTGGCTGCGATTGTGCCGTGGTTTGAGGAGTTTGCTTTGGATTTGGAGGCCCGGGGCTTGCATTGAATCAAGGAACTCAGAGTTAGGGGGGCGCAGAGAAGTTTACTTTGAACGCCTCTGATTAGAGTCCTCCCAGGAGTCCTCCACATATTGTCTACCGTCACACCATCATGCTCGTCAATGACATGGAACATGAAAATCTGGTGAGAACCGTGACGCTTGTAACATTGGAACTAAAGCACAAAGCCCCATGCCTTGATTTCATTCCTAAGGTTTGTGCTGGGAAAGTGCACTTGCAGACTTCTTCACCGCCCGACAAGGCAGGCACAGCAATAAATTTCAAGTTACTTGCTTGCAAACCATTACAAAAGCATGACGCAGGGTGCTGGCCCACACCTAAGTGTGAAAACTGCCCAAGTTGTGCTTGCGAATGTATGCCCAGCAATCGAGCGACACGGTGCTGTGATGAGGGAAGCATTTCCGAGCTTTGCCTGAAGCTCCATGAACAGCGTAAGGACAGTTTGGACACGATTTCCAAGATGGCTTCTCCAACATGAAGATGCCCTTTGAATCGAACAGGTGGATTCAGGCGCGCTGAAGAAGTGGCACGCATAGCAAAACAAACATGTCTGAGAAGTTTGCGCACGCAGGTGTCCTCTATGAATGGGGAATACGCGCGATACGTCATTTCTGCGCAGGCGGTGCAAGCGCAGATTGTTGCTATCTTTGGGATTATCTTGGACATCCTTGCTCACTCTTGAACAACCAGATGAAAACAACTTCAAAAAGTAAGATCAACAGTGTGTGTGCACTTATAAATCTGCACATGTTTGGGTGTGTATTATGTGATTTGAATGGATCTGCCTTGGTCTCAAGGGTAACGTAGTGGAGCACCCTAAGCCTGCATGTCTGGTGGTCTTTGTGTGTCCGTCTGGCTGCTCAATTGTTTGGCCTTTGTCTATCTGCAGTGCAAATGCATGCGTGTACACAGGATGCACGGGGTTCATAAGCACGCAAGGCATGTTAATACTGTAGATACGGACAAGAAATGACCATGGTTTGTCGAGGCATGGAAAGAGATCGCCTGGCTTGACACAGGAAATGGGAGGCCATCCCAACAGCTTCCGCCACCCGTTTTAGAGCAGTTCAAGTCTTCAAACAGGAGTTTGCATATAGAACAACGAGACACCGGTATTGCTGTGGCACCAAGCTCAGGATGAAAGCCGGAGCTACATGAGTCTCGTGAAGAGTGAAGACTTTGAATTGACAGCTGTGTGTGACATCGTTGCCCAGCCCCCCAACACTCCCAACGTCTCCTAGCACCCCCCAACATCTCCCAACATCTCCCAACATCTCCCAACAAATGCTGTGCACGGACACATACACATTTTTTTGTTCGGAAGGGGCTAGAGTTGTACTTACCAGGGTATTGCTTTCATACACAAAGCTCTCAACCAGACTCCAAAGACTCCAGAGCACCTGACAGACAGGCATACGTTTTCTCCCCGTCCGTGACATCCAACATACCTGGCACGGGAAGAGTAACATGCCAGGATTTCTCCGAGAGTATGGGAATGGCCTGAATGGCTGTAGAAGAGCTGGAAATGACCTAATGACACCGATGAATACCGATGATACATGATGATACACTGTGCCAATCTATGCCAATCGATCCCTGTCGATGCCTCTCCATTACACATCATTACACCACGATGCCCATGGCCTGAAACTTGTCTGAAATGCTTCAACCGTTCAACCTGCTTCAGCTGCTTCAACTTGCAAAGTGCGAATATTGTGATTATCTTTGATTGGTCCCAGCGAAAAAGTCATGGCAATCATAGTCCAACTGTCACCTGGGACATCAATATTCCAATATATTCCATCAGGGTCATCTTTTTCATTCCAAGAATTCTGCCATCGAAGAACTGAGGCGTGGCAGGCTGTTCACCTGGAAGGGAAGCAAGGCCATGCTGTTTCTTTCTGTCTCACATTTTGGAAAATATAAACTTATATCTTCTATTTGCATTCGTTTCGAAGAAATCGATCCTGTAATTATTTGTAATTGCCAAGTTTCAAATGCTTTGATTTTGCGTCTTCATCTCCCGACTCATCAGGTGGTGAAGACCCAAATGTTCAATACGAGGCCACAAGAGACATAGCCAGTTGGAAGTTCGTTGTTGTGTTGTTGGAATGTGAACGTTTCTTGAGGCAGTTACAAGGTGATCCAGGTATTTTCAGATTCAGAGTTGAACTGGATTTTCCCTTCAGGTGTTTTATATTCGAGCTGACTTGCTCCAGTCGAATTTCGATACAGCGTGTGGAATGTATTTGGAGCCGCTTGTCAAAAATGAAAGAACCGAAAAGGATTTTTTTGACGTAGTTGTAAAAGGCCATGCAGTTTTGGACCAAGGCATACTTTGCGGCATGCCAAACGAATCATTACGCACGCCCTAAACATTGAGATCCAGGCGCCTTTTAAGCTGGATAGTTGTTCCATGTTGTTCCTGCTTCTGCCTCGGGCACCGACCGTGTTAGCACGTGACAGGGCAGTACATAACATGTTGCGATTGGGTTTGTTTTTTCAGGACTTTGAGCCCGGCACCTTGTATCACGTCAACGTGTTAGCAAGGACTTTGCAAAATTTGCGCAGCCTGGTGTCACATCCCCTTCTTCAACTCACAGTTTGGCGCGAGGAGCCTCGCCACTGGGCACCTCTTTGCCTTCCAGTCCTCACGCTTGACGGGAAGGCTTGCATTTTCTTGCCAAATTCAAAGGATCAGCATTTTTTCGGTAAGCATTTCGGTATCAGTCTCTTTTTTTTCGCTGTGCAGGTTGGAAAACGAGCCGGCTTTTGACGAGGGAAATTACAGGCCCTGTTATTTTGTTGATGCACAACCATACCTGCTATACATTTTTGGAAAGGATGGGGGGGGACCAAGGTCATTTATTTTGGGACCTGTGCTGATTTTGGTCATGGTTTGCTTCGCCCGGGGCCTAGAGGTGGATCAGCATTTTACATATTCTGGAATCATCTTGGGGGTCGCCCACGTTTGAAGTGCTCCAGGCCTGGTGCCACCGGCATTGTACAGGCATGGCCTTCAAAAATCTCGTCCCACAGAAATGCCAACACAGTTCGAGTATGTTCGAGTCATGTTTGTTCCTCATCGGCAAGGCCAGGTGAACGTGAATGCCATGATGCGACGAATCGAGTTGCCATCCTGGGGAAGGCGGCCTGCAAGGTTGAATACCGCAAAGCAGAATGCTTGCAGATGGTGAACAAAAAACAAAAAATCAGCGGTGGTGCTTGGACGTTCTGTTTGCCTGCAGTTCACCTCAACACTACCGGTATCTCGAAGGCCAACAGTGCAAAGTCGGAGGATGGAGCAGGATTCAACTCACAGATTTTTGAAAGGCGTGATGATACACTGCTTAAAGGTCGCACCATCGGCGGCTATGCTCAGTTTGCCAGATCCCTGGGTATGAGAAAAAGTCACGAGTTAACGAGATTCACAGTGCACCGGCAGAAACCAGAGCGACAAAAGCAGGAAGATATGAGATGACGAGTACAAAAAAGTAAAGAAGAGATAAGAAGAAGCCATTTCAGTTTGTTAAAGTTTGTTTAATGACAAATTTGCATCCTCTCAGTAGCACATCGAGAACACGCACAGCTGAACTCTGAGCGCGAGCCAAGTCCGTACCACTTGCGGGCCAGAAGTTGCCGCTGCCGTCCGAAAGGATACACGAGAAAATAGCGACCAAAAAATTGTTTTGGTGCACTGGTAGACTTTTGTTCTTTAGGCCGAGCGACTTTGCATTCCCGAAAAGCGTGCAGCCACAAGTCCAGCAACTAAAGACTTCTTGGTTCCATCCTGAGAGAAGTTTTCAGGCTCCATCCTGAGAGAAATCTTCAGGTTTATCCCATCTGCATCTATGCCAGGCATGCAGCATCTGGACTCAAGGGCAACAAACAGACATTGCTGCACTTGAAGGGTTGATTTTGATGATATGACCGCAGAATTCACAACAGTAGGCAGGCGCAAAGGACCAGAGGTTCAAAGCCAACACGCATCGCTCCATTCCTGCAAAACACAAAGTTGCTGGCTGCGTGAGTATGGGAGTTGCTAGAGTTCTCATGCCCTTCCGGGGTTTGAAGGTCGATTTGATAGGATCTTACACACGCTTTGCGTCAAAGGCTTGTCCAGGTCGCGATGGCCGCGGCAGATCTTGAGTGCATCCCATTCGCAAACGCCGAGGATTTGTGGTAGGGGCAGTTTCTTACATTTGGGTGGCATTGCATGTCAACCTATTTCAAGGAGCGAGCTATGTCAGCGCCGGTAGCAGCTGGAGGCATAGAGAATTTGGAATCTTGAATGCTTGTCTATTTTCCAATGCTGACAGGTGAGAGCTGAGCGTCGCCGATGGTCAAACATAAGTGCACTCTGCAAAACTCTGAACCATCTCTACTTTCTTGGTGCAGGATTCAAGAACAGCGCATAATTTGCGCCAGCATCTTTGAGATGCTTTTTGAATGCTTATCTTATCTTGGAAATCCTTGAATCGGAAAATGCTGATGCGTTTTGTGAAAGCCACTTGTCTGTCGGATGAGCTGCTCTCTCGTATTTGCTCCCTCCTCTCCTTTCCTCTCCTCTCCTTCACTCTCTGCTGCTGTCCGCTACTCTATTCTTCGCTACTCTATTCTACTCTACTTAGACCACTGGACTTGAGACTTCTGAGCCACTGCTTCTGTAAAACGATCCGTGACTCGGAGTTTCTACGACCCCCTTGTTTTTTTTTCTAAATAGACTTATTTATTCGTTTTTTGGTTCATTTATTTATTATTTATTCATTTATTAATTATATCGATTTATCAAAGGAAGTTTAGAAGTCAAACTTCCGACAGTATGGACAGATGAAGCAGCAGAAGGGGGAATAGTCAGAGAAGAGAAAGGAAGAAGAAAGAAGATGAGAGGAGAGAAAGAGTCAGAAGAGGGAAGAGTCAAGCGTGCGAAAAAAGTAGAAAAGTCACGAAACACTGGTTTTCCAATGTTTTGTGGCTCCCAAGGCCGAGGGTCAAAAAGTAGGCTCGCTAAAGCGGCGGGCGCAGAGCCGTCTGCCCGGTGCAGAGCCATCTGCCCGGATGAGAGATGGGCGAAGCAGATTTGGAAGAACATATATGGTCAAGGGTTCGGAGCACTTTTGGAGGTTGAGATGTGGAAAAAGTGCACGCTGTTGTGGGGCGAAGCACATTTAGAAGTAAACATGTTAAAACACTTCAGCTTCGGCTGCGCAAAAAAGTGCGCACCGTTGTGGCCCGAAGCACATTTCGAAGTCAAGAATGCTAAAAACACATTAGCATTGAAACATATAGGTTAGGTTCACTACAAAATGCTAAGGTGTTGCCACCCCACAAGGGAGGAGTGTTTATTTTATGAAGCTTCCTGGGGCTACCAGCACCTTGTCATCGTCTAAGGCACAGTTCAAGTTTTAGGGCAACCATGGCAGCAATTTTGAGTTAAAATTGGATTTGGTGGGGGCACCAACTTTCTTCTTATGGGTATTTATGGGTGTTGTGTTGGCCAAGGATGGACAAGGATCTTTTGCAAGTTGTAAGTGTGACGACGTTCACGGCTATCTTATGTTTTCATTTTGTACATTTTCTTTCGTGCTCATTTTTTTTTGTTTTTTGGTACTCATGTGATAACACAAACGCGAGACATCATGAGATGAGTTCTGGTAGGCAATGAGGCCAAAGAAGCAAACATACAAAACTATAAAACAACATAAAAGGTGGCAAAGAAAAGGAATCCTTACAAAAAGGCTGCTTGAAAATCAACGAGTCCGGGAAAACCAGAAACAGGGAACCAGAAGTTGTTTCCTTACAAAATGATGCCCGAAAACGCTATCTAAAATCACAACTTCTTATAAAAAGATCATCGAGTAGGATACAACATTCATATCATGAAGAAAGTCGTCACCTTATAAAATGGTATAGGTGTTTGAAGTCGAATGTGGGTGCTGAAAACCTAGGCCAAAATTCCCAAAAACCGACTCTTTTTATAGGGTTTTTCAAAGTCCCACTGGTTTATGCTTACAAGAAGCCGGGTGCGACCCCTGCCCCCTAATCTGAAGGGGGCTGTATACACTTTTTCGTGGCAGGCCCAGCAATTACTCTAGACAGATGGGGTGGAAACATCGCAAAATGCAGTGGTACGAGGCCGTCAGCTGTGCACTCAATTTCATCGTTGAAGGAGGTCTCGCAGAAGTGCTTCGTTTTTGATGCTGTCAAGTTAGGAAGTCTCGCAGACTTGCTTCGTTTTTGATGCTGTCAAGTTAGGAAGTCTCGCAGACTTGTTCCGTTTTCTGATGTGGTCAGCTTCGGGTTTTTGAGGAAGTCTCGCAGAATGTGTTACTTTTGCCTTGGTGAATTTGCATTTTGTGAAGGAGTATCGCAGAATTGTTTCGTTTTCAACCTGTCAACCCCCACTTTTGTAAGTCTGACAGAAATGCTGTTTGTCAATGATATGGACAGATTGAAAGCAGACCTGACTAAATGGATAGATGGATAGATGGATAGATAGGATAGATAGGATAGATAGGATAGATAGGATAGATAGGATAGATAGGATAGATACGATAGATAGGATAGATAGGAGAGATAGGATAGATAGGATAGATAGGAAAGATAGGACGGATAGAGTAGATAGGATAGAAAGGATAGAAAGGATAGATAGATAGATAGTTAGATTAGATTAGATTAGAATAGATAGATAGATAGATAGATGGATAGATAGAGAGACAGCTTAATAAAAAGATTGATAGATAGATGGATAGATAGATAGATGGATAGATGGATAGATGGATAGATAGATAGATAGAGAGACAGCCTAATAAAAAGATTGATAGATAGATGGATAGATAGAGAGACAGCTTAATAAAAAGATTGATAGATAGATGGATAGATAGATAGATAGGGAGATAGATAGATAGATAGATAGAGAGATAGAGAGATAGATAGATAGATAGATAGAACGATCGATCGATAGATCGATAGATAGATAGATCGATCGATGGATAGATCGATGGATCGATAGATCGATAGATAGGATAGATAGGATAGATAGGATAGATAGGATAGATAGATAGATCGATAGATAGGATAGTCAGGATAGATAGGCTAGATAGGATAGATAGGATAGATAGGATAGATAGGATAGATAGGATAGATAGGATAGATAGGATAGATAGCATAGATAGGATAGATAGCATAGATAAGATAGATAGGATAGATAGGGTAGATAGGATAGATTAGATAGATAGGATAGATAGGATAGATAGGATAGAGAAGATAGAAAAGATAGATAAGAAAGATAAGATAGATACGATAGATAAGATAGATAAGATAGATAGATTCGATTAGATTAGATGAGATGAGATGAGATTAGATAGATAGATAGATAGGATACATAGGACATATAGGATAGATAGGATAGATAAAATAGATAGGATCGATAGATAGATAGATAGGATAGGATAGGATAGGAAAGGATAGGATAGGAAAGGATAGCATAGCATAGCATAGATAGATAGATAGATGGATAGGATAGGATAGGATAGGGTAGGGTAGGATAGGATAGGATAGATTGGAAAGATAGGATAAATAGGATAGATAGGATAGATGGAATAGATAAGATAGAAAAGATAGATAAGATAGATAAGATAGATAAGAAAGATAAGACAGATAAGACAGATAAGATAGATCAGATAGATAAGGTAGATAGATAGATGAGATGAGATGAGATGAGATGAGATGAGATGAGATGAGATAGATGGGGCAGATGGGATAGATAGGATAGATAGATAGATAGGTAGATAGATAGATAGGATAGATAGATAGACAGATAGGCAGATAGGCAGATAGACAGATAGACAGATAGACAGATAGACAGATAGACAGATAGATAGATAGATAGGCAGATAGACAGATAGACAGATAGACAGATAGACAGATAGACAGATAGATAGATAGATAGAGAGATAGAGAGATAGGCAGATAGATAGATAGATAGATAGAGAGATAGAGAGATAGATAGATAGATAGATTCATCGATAGATTCATCGATAGATTCATCGATAGATTCATCGATAGATTCATCGATAGATTCATCGATAGATTAGATTAGTTTAGGTTAGATTAGATTAGTTTAGGTTAGATTAGATAGATAGATAGATAGATCGGATAGATAGATAGATAGATAGATACATAGATAGATTCATCGATAGATTAGATTAGTTTAGGTTAGATTAGATTAGTTTAGGTTAGATTAGATTAGATAGATAGAGAGATAGATAGGTAGGTAGGTAGATTGATGGATAGCTAAATAGATAGCTAAATGGATGGCTAAATAGAGAGCTAAATAGATAGCTACATGGAGGGAGGGCGGGAGGGAGGTAGAGAAAGAGAGAGAGAGAGGGGGAGAGAGACCCAGAGCCTCCGCCACCTTTCGATCCATCAGCGGGTTCTCTCTGCCATCCCCGCGTCGCAAAAACAGATCTCTCCTATGATTGGTTTCCTATCTTCGACACTTTTGCCACCGTCTTGTGCGTCACCAAGGGGTTGAAATATACATGCATAGCTAGGATTGCCCTGTCGTCCCTTCGTGGATCTTGCGCATGGAAGACACGCTTGACATTCACAACATGCGCACAGTGTGCCATATGTTGACTGGAGATATGGAAAGCCGCTCAGACATGTGATTCTGTGTGGTTGGGTCCGTGAATTCCAAGGTCATTGCTTTTGTGCAGACTTGGTTTGGCACTTCGCA